CTGCTGAAGGCACAAGCAGTCAGGGGCCTGATCCTTTTATTTTTGCATTTTCTGCCCCTCCCCCACCCAGCCCAGGAGGGCATCCTGACAGTTGCATCATTGCAATTTGCTACATCTGGATGTAGTTTAGTTTGAAACAATGCAAAGTCATTTAAAACCCCCAAAAGTCTTGCATGTGCACACTGTGATGCATTTAAACCACACAAAGTTTGCAGGTGGTGTCACCAGTAGTGATTTGGCTTCTTCAACCATGGGATGCTCTTCCAACGAGAAGGATTGCTGGGAAGAGATGGGATCCACCTGATGAAGAGAAAGAAAAGCATCTTTGCAGACAGGCTCACTAACCTAGTAAGGAGGGTTTAAACTAAGTTCACCAGGGGATGGAGACCAAAGCCCTGAGGTAAGTGGGGAAGTAGGAGACCTGGAGGAAAAGCAAGCAGGAGGGGACAACAGGGGAGGTGCACTCATACTTTCTGAGAAATGAGGACAACCAACTGGATACCTCAGGTGCCTGTACACAAACGCACAGAGCCTGGGAAACAAGCAGGAAGAATTGGAAGTCTTTGCACAATCACGGAAATGTGACGTGATTGAAATAACAGAAACTTGGTGGGATAGTTCGCATGTCTGGAGTACTGTCATGGATGGGCATAAATTGTTCAGGAAGGACAGGGAAGAGAGGAGAGGAGGAATTGATGCTGCCTTGTTTTTAAAAGGCTCGTTTCATTATTTACAAAAGGGGAATGTATTTATGGCAAATGAGGAACATGGATTCAAGTTTAATGAAACCCTTCAGAAAGAAATATACAATCTTTCATGAATGTTTGATGCAGAATTAATCTATTTGCTGGAACTTTTAGAATGAAAGATGGCTAGTACCAGCAACTACCTCTTGCATGTACTTTCTCATTCTCAGGTTTGGCACTCTCCACTGGCAATAGGCAAAGTGATGTCTTTTAGCTAGATCAGGACAATTCAGTACCATCCTTTCTTAAGGGGAGTTTAGAGGGGGACAGTACCTTCCCTCATCTGTGATTATATGAATATGTAAGAAATATCAAAACTAGGGGCCAGGTCCTGAAAAAGCAATCTGTGTTTTTGCAGACAGCTGTATCATAAGTCAAGAGGTAAGCCTCTTGTGCAGTTCCCAGAACCAGTGCCACAGAATTCACTTGCAAATCATTTTGGGTATGGTGGATAAGAATGAATGCTAGAGTGAATGGTTCCGCCACTAATTTGCTATGTGGTCCTAAGCAATTCACTTCTTGGGGCCTCAGGATTGCCATTTTACAAATGGGGAATAGTGATTCTTATCAACCATTTCAATTTATTTAAAGAACTAATGAAAAGTGACATAAAATTTAAATAATGGTTTAAATAAGGATTATTCATTTGTATTCAGAGACCCATTCAATTTACCCAGATAAAATGTTTCTCTCAGAGCATGAAGGAGGGTATATATGAAGAGTATATAAGATGTATGTAGCCCAGTCCTAAAAATCAAAAATAAGAACTTGCCGCCTAAAGTTTTATAGTAAGCTTTAAACTTGAACAAATTGTATTTCTTATAGGGAAATCAAATTTATGTTGGAAAGTGTAAGGAATATTTTTTAAATAAGCTGCATTTTAGATGGGCCAGAATCCAAATGTTCAATTCCTCTCTGCACCTACTGGGAACAGCATGAAAGAAACTGCCTGAGGGATGGTTTGTTACTGTACTTATCCATTGTCCAAACAATTCTGGGCAAGGTTTTGACAATAGAATAATTATAAAAAACTGACTACCTATGCACATGTACAATATGGTCCTATCAACACTTCATAGAAATACAAGATGAGAAAACAGAAGTAACAAAAGCTGTGCAGAGAGAACAAATGTCTTTGTTCTGTGCTATGAAGTAGTATTTTCACACGTTTCCCAGTCCATTTAAAAACAAGTAATTGATCTTATTCTGCATCCAGATTCCTACCTTAGTTGCATGAGAATAAACTGGGGACAAGGCCATTGGATTCAGTTGCCATTTGGAATTTATTTCAATATTTTCAGTCTAGTTTCAACCAAGATCCGACTCAAATCAGAATATAGTCTGTACTTTGGCTAAATGACATAGGGATGTTTGGAGTATTTAAAGATAATTAGCTATTTAATTTTTTGTTTTGCTAGGTTATTGAGACGGATACTCCACTATGTGGATGTAAGTTTACAAACATGTCCAAATAAAATATGAGTCTGTTCCACTGTGTCTTTATAAAACAGACCTGGGTCAGGTTTTGAGATGATTTAATTGAATGCCTCTCAGCTGAAATCACTAGAACAATTTGGTTTCATATCAACAGAGGATCTGGCCCTTAGTAACATTAAAAAAAAATCTTTCACCCTTACAAACGTTCTGACTTTTTAATTCCTTTGGGATTTGAATGCCTGTGTTTTTTTTGTTTTGCTTTTCTGCAAGAAAGCAGGCAAACTTCTTATGAAAGCTAAGTATATTCACACTTAACTTTACAATAAATTATTTGCTCTCATCAAGCTTTTCTATGATGGTGGCAGATGAAGTCAGAGTGAACCTTTTGTGTTTGTTTAATAGCAATTCTTTCAGGCCAACAACCAACTTTAATACCATGTGACTCATCAAATACTATTCTCTTGGATGGTAGTAGCCAGGAGACAACAGAATCATCATTTGCAGTAGGCAAAAAAACCTTGTCCCTCTAGCTTAGCTTTATATGATGTAATTCAATCTACAGAGTAAACAGGGCATCTATTGTAGCATTTGTAATCATTCACTTTCTTTTTTATGACTTCACATTTTTTATTATGTCTTCATTACACAGTGAGATGTATTTCAACTTTGACCTTCATCTGTAGAGTGAATAAAAAATGGGGTTTCAATAGGTGAAAGCAATTTTTCACTGGCAAAAGCTGCCTTTTGATAGTAATAGCTAAAAGTCTTCTGATGAAAATGGATTTTTGTCTACTACTGAAAATAGTGAAAAAGCATTTTCACTGGCCTTTGCTACAAATGATTTCTTTTCAAACAGATCCACAATGTATCAACTATTTTTAAAGATGACAGTCTTTTCAGACACAAAATGTGATTAAAGAGTTAAATTTAGGAAATAACAATGTATGAATGTATTTATTTCAATTGTGAGACTTGACTGATTCAATCCATTTCCAAAAATGCATCATTTGAGCAGCTCTGTTACTGTGGTTGAGTAAAAAAGAGTGAGGAAAAGGAAGGGCAGGGCTTCTTTTGGTCCATATGTACAAATAAAATATGGCACTCAAAGCTATTCAAGCATAATTTTTCAGTTCATGTTTAGCTTTTCTGTTTAATATCTTTCTTAGTGATGAGCGTTTAGAGAATAAAGCAACAAATAAGCAAACTTTCAAACTCTTCCCACCTTAAACATGTTAATTCTTAATTATTTTAATCTCATTTGTGTTCTGGGACCTCAGGATTTATGTTTCCCCCATTCTTTCATCCTTCGGAAATTAGTTTAATAACAAATGGGATACTGTGTGAGGGTCTAGCCCAGATGAAATGTTTACATCTCATTGTGTTTCCTGAGGATTAGAAGCATGCAGTTTTTCTGACTTATGGAAGTCCTAGGATCTGAGAGATTTGGATGTTTGAATGAGATATGAAAACATGAGTGATGGAGCACGGAAAATTGAGTATGGATGGTATTTTACATGATGGAAGAGGAAATGATAGGGAACAAAACAGAATCATTGAGTCTAAGCTACTCATTTTGTTTCAGGCTGAAAGATGAAGATAAAGAAAGATGTGAAATCAGGGGAAAAAAACATGAGAAGATGGGGTAGGGAAA